CAAAAATTAAGTACTTGTAATTAGAGTATAGTACATTTAAAAATACTCGTAATTAGATTATAGCTACTTTTTATGGATTACATGATTATTCACACAATGCCCATAAATTATTAATAATTTATTGATTCTCCCTAATTTGTCTGTTGTCTCTATACCAGTCTGGAAAACCCTGATATAATATGATGTTTAATGCACTTCATGCTTCTTGCAATGGAATAGATTTTCTCTCTCTTTGTTTGTCTTTTTTTTAAATATCGAAATGGTACACAACAATCCAATTCAAATCTATAGGATAAACGAGGTAAGTCAAAAGTAATCTAAAAGTAATCAAAAAGTAGTTGGAATACATTACCTAATATGAATAATCTAACAGATTACATTACTAACTACAATTTTCGTCATGTAATTTATAATCAATGACGGACTAAAATTTGCAAGTAATCTACCCAGCAACTAGTGTTTCTAACTAGGTTTGAGGATAGATGGAGGAAAAAAAGTACACCAAAACATTTGACAAATGTATATTGCATGGTGCTATGCAAATGAAATTTAATTATTAACGATTATTTTGAGCTTTTGGCTTTAGAAAAATTACAACATAAATGCCAGTTGCATAATAGCACACATACCCATCTTAAAAAAAAAAAAAAATTATATTCTATAAATTGCAAGAGTATCATCATATTTGGGGGTCCTTGGCATCAAAAAAACCTTAAATTATAAATTGTATTCGTCATTATGCAAACACACACATATATATATACCAGAGACACAACACAGCAAAATATTAGCCTAAAGGCTTCAGTTAAACAGCAGTTAAATAAATGCAAGCAACATCAGACCAATCACAATTCAGTATGCAAATGAATGTAAAAAAAAGACCAACTGCAATTCAGTAAGCAACTACAACAATCATCACAGCAGCTGCATTCTCTAAATATGTCAACTTTAATCTTAAATGTCTCAGACAAAGTCTAAACGCAGTCGTGCTACACGTACATTAACGGGTCGTGCTGAATGAACAGCAGAAATTAGCGGAGAAGAAAAAAAGCCTTGCAAGAACTATAATAAGCTTCTCAGTAGAGTGAGATGTGCTGCAGATCTCATCAGTGTATGGAATTATAATACAAGCTGCTGCTGTCTGAGAGAACATCATGTGACTACACCCATGCTCCTCTATTTCTGGCTGTAGCTAAATCATACATGTAAGCACACGGCACGATGTTACGTACGAGAGAATCCATCAAAACACAAATCTGCAGCCTTGCCTTAAACATCGAAACAGAGAAGAGCCCACATTAACCCCGCAGTTTTAGAGAAGGGTGGTGTTGTCATAGCAACAAAGAGTAAAAACAACACTAAATAACACACTGTTTATCAGCTCGGAATTGAATAAAACTGGACTAAACAGACACTAACTGACTATAGCCAGAAATGATCAACAATTACACAAACTAGTACTAATTAAGTCGAGTGATCTAATTGAGTCTAACTTTGTCTTTTCATCCATTTGTTATTTCACAGGCTATCATTGCGCGGCCCTGCCTCTTATTCATGTAAGCAATTAATGCTTGTCAGGATAATGATACATATAAGGGCAATGTTTCCGCCCCGGTAATTATTTAGCCCATGAGCTAACACAAGTCTGCTCCCATCTTTTCCTTTGAAGTGACTATTGTGTTTTCAGAGAAAAACCTCCGTCCCGGCCGCAAACAAAGGGCATCTTGAGCGGAATTTATGCAGAGATGCACGGGTCACAAACAGATTCATCAGAATATGGTATTATACCGTTTATGGTACATTTCTGACCCTGGACCACATATATATATATATATATATATATATATAATGGGGGAAAGTTGACCTTATTCATGGAATATGATGTATAAACATTACAAAAATAAATAAATAAATATAAACATTTGCCCTAAAACGAGCAAATTGTAGCTTAAGAAATATTTTAAAGTTGAGGATAACTACAACAATTTATGTTCACTGTCAGAAATTCCCATTATATTTTAGGATTTTATTCATTTAAATTACAATTCCATGTCCATGGGGTATCCTGACCTTGGCTGTCATATTCAAATGATTTTTCCGAAGCCCTGGTTCAAGCACCAAATCCAGGATAAACAGGTAAGATAATTCTCACAATTAATGGTTTAATGAACTATAATGAAACAACATCGCTTCCATTATAGATCTGACCATTTGTGTT